ACTGATGACATCATGATGTGTTGTACAGTCTAACTGATGACATCATGATGTGTTATACAGTCTAACTGCAGTTGGAATGAGGAAGCGCTCCGTCCTGCAGTGAGGATGTTAAAGTCTGTGACTGAAGGAGCTGCTCAGCCCCCCCATGGTTTCCTGCAGAGTGTGTGTGTGTGTGTGGGGGGGGGGGGGGGGGTGTCCATGATGGCTGTCAGCTTTGCCAACATTTCTTCTGCTGTCTTTCATTGTATTTGATTTGTATTGTTTTTCATATGTAATGTTTTTGTTTTTTAAATGAAATGAATAAATACTAAAATAAATGTCAAACTCTATTTTAATTAGTTTTTCTTTGTTTTTGCTGTTTAGGACCGGCCTCTTCTGTCTCCCAGAATTCACAGCAAACCTGGAGGWCTGCTCAGTCCCTAAAGCTACTTGTGAACTTCCAGAAACGTTGAGCGAAGAGCCGGTTCCTGACCCCCCGATCCAGACCTCCAACAGACCAAAGGATGAGAACAGCGTCCCTGAAAGCAGCACCCCCCCTGGCCCCCCACCCTGCCCTGTCCTCACACCCGTACCAGCTGGACAGACTCCTTACCCTCCTTATTTTGAAGGAGCCCCCTTCCCTCAGCCCCTATGGGTGCGCCACACCTACAGCCAGTGGGTTCCCCAGCCCCCTCCACGACCAATCAAGAGGAAGAAGAGGCGGACACGAGAACCGGGCCGTATGACCATGAGCACCATCCGTCTGCGGCCGCGGCAGGTCCTCTGTGAGAAGTGTAAGAACACTCTGAACAGTGACGAGGACAGCAAGGACGGCCTGAGCAACACCAAGACTTCCAGGAAAGAAAACGGCCCTCAGAGCGACGAGGACGGAGACTTCAGGGACACTCCAGCCAAGCTGGCCAGGAAAGATGATGTCATCGGAGCCAAGGACACCAAGAGACGTGAGACCGCCCCCAGCCTGGACACTAAGCGTCTCAGAAAGGACAAACGGGCCGAGGCTGAAGGAGATGTGATCCCTCACAGTCCGGTCATTAAGATCTCCTACAGTACCCCACAAGGAAAGGGCGAGGTCATGAAGATCCCCTCCCGGGTCCACGGCTCCATCAAACCCTTCTGCCCCAAGCAGCTGGTGCCCAACGGCAAGAGGTCCGCCCACAGCGCCAAGGAGCAGCGGCACATCCTGGACGCCACTCGGTCTGGTCTGACCGTGTCCATTCCAAAACTGAAACTAACCAGGCCTTTTGCAACGGTGGGCCAGGACCCGTCGTGTCCAAAGATCCGGCTGAGACCCCCTCAGAGCGAGGCCGAGGAGACCATGGTGGAGTACGAGGCAGAACTTGTTGAAGGCAGCACCAGACCAAGTCCCAGGGTGCCCGGTCCGTGTCTTCCACACTCCGAAGACTCGGGAGAAGGAAAGAACTCCTTGGAGCTGTGGTCCGGGAGTTCTGGAGAGGAGGCGGAGCGGAACCACGGCGACCTGACCCTCCTGATCAACTTCAGGAAGCGTAAAGCAGATTCCTCCAGCCTGTCCGTCTGCAGCAGCGACAGCCTGGACGAGTCCAAGTCCTTCAGCTCCGAGGGCACCTCACCTGAGCTGTGTGACCTGGCTCCAGGTGAAGACCTGTCCGTCACCTCGTCCTCCGTCACGCCCCAGGACCGGGACAGCTGCAAGACGGTGCCGCCGCTCACCGTGCGCCTGCACACCCGCAGCATGACCAAGTGTGTGACGGAGGAGGGCCACGCCGTGGCCGTGGGCGACATCGTGTGGGGCAAGATCCACGGCTTCCCCTGGTGGCCGGCACGAGTCCTCAACATCAGCGGCGCCACCGGCAAGCAGGAGCCGGGTCAGTGCCAGGCCCAGTGGCCCCAGGCCAAGGTGGCCTGGTTCGGCTCCCCCACCACCTCCCAGCTGTCCGTGGCCAAGCTGTCCCCCTTCAGAGAGCTCTTCAGGTCCCGCTTCAACCGCAAGAAGAAGGGCATGTACCGCAGGGCCATCCTGGAGGCCGCCAAGGCCGTGGGTCACATGGGTCCAGAGATCACATCGCTGCTGTCCCACTGTGACACGTAGGTAACTGCCTCACCTGAGGGTCCTCACCTGGAGGGTCCTCACCTGAGGGTCCTCACCTGAGGGACCTCACCTGAGGGACCTCACCTGAAGGTCCTCACCTGAGGGTCCTCACCTGGAGGGTCCTCACCTGAGGGTCCTCACCTGGAGGGTCCTCACCTGAGGGGCCTCACCTGAGGGTCCTCAGCTGGAGGGTCCTCAGCTGGAGGGTCCTCACCTGAGGGTCCTCACCTGGAGGGTCCTCACCTGAGGGTCCTCAGCTGGAGGGTCCCGTCCGGTCACACCTCCTGTTAATACACTTCTAATGAGGGTCCAGTCTGACCTAGCCTGGTTCAAACCAGACCCTGTCCTTCATACCAGGGTCTGGACTCTGCTACAGAGAAGTGATTCCTGCAGGAGGCGTGGCCTCTGCTGAAGTTTAAAATGATTGGATCAGTTTTCTGTGACGTATGTC